ACTACATCACCATGCTGCTCCAAAACATCATGTAGCCCCTGTACACCATGCTGCCCCAGTGCACCATGCTACTCCTGTACACCATGCTGCCCCTGTTCACCATGCTGCCCCTGTACATCATGCTGCTCCTGTGCATCACGGAAAAGGATATGCTCCTGCTTATCCTGATGTAAGTTCAACTTAATTTACGTTAACAGTTTTTTATTAAATTTTTCGTATTATCTATAGTATGAGAGGAAAGTTCTTTTTTGAAAAGGATACCTTCTATCGAAGCAAAGAGTTATGTCACGTAACACCACGTCCACTCTCTTTAGACGCCTGCACACTACGCCTATGAGTACGCTGTCAACGACGACTACGCCGGCACCCACTTCGGCCACTCGGAGGCTCGCGACGGCTACAACACGGAGGGCAAGTACTTCGTCCACCTCCCCGACGGCCGCGTCCAGACCGTCACTTACTACGCCGACGAGACTGGCTACCACCCCACCGTCTCCTACGAGGGGACTGCCCACTACGACGCCCACGCAGCCGTCCCTCACCATGCCCCTGCCAAGGCTTACCACGCCCCTGAACCAGCATATCATGCCCCAGTTCTACCCACCTATCATGCCTAAGCAAAAGGAATATTCTTTATGTACGAAAAGTTCAATGAACATTGTCAATATTTAAAATACTTTTGTATAATAAAATGAAACTGTGAATCTGATTCTTTGAGTCAACCAACAACCTTTTATTCAGTCAGAAGTCTCTTATAGGCAAAGGAATTCCAATGCCTATAATACATAATATGACATTTCACAATCGATCTTTCAAGAAATACAAGAGGTATACTATTTCCGGAAAATGCATGATGTGATGTGCCTTTTGAGGTATTCCGCACATATGGTTATCCGTTTATTTTAACTTTTTATTTCAAAAGGTTCATTTACACATGCAAGCACGCACACACGTACACACACACTATATGTATACATACATATATATATGTGTGTGTGTGTGTGTATCTATCTGGGTAAACCATTTATTTCAGGTCCTCATCGAGGAATCAACTGGATGTGTTTGGAGAGCTGTATTACAAATGTCTGTATGCATTACCTATACATAGATAAATACATACGTACATACTTATATATGTATATATCAATGTATATGCATATGTAATACACACACATGCACACAAACACACACACACTCACACAGACACACACAAACACTCACACATATAAATACATGCATGCAAACATAAAGATCTAGCTGCGTATATCTATGTGAACTTTCTTATTCATTTTTGTGTACACGTTACTAGATTTGTGACTGTGTTCTCTCTATATATATCTACATGTTTATACATATGTATAAACACGCATATACATATGCAGTCTTAAGTAAGCTTTCTGTTAATCTGTAGTTATGTCTGTTTGTCTAACTATCACACAAATTTTATTTGAAATGATCGCCGATCAATTTACGCGTCCTGAAAAATATGGAAAGACGGTGAAGCTTCTCCCAGTCTGATCGAACTTAGTGCGTCAAAAGGACAATCAGTCAGATATACCTGAAAGGCTGTACCCCAGTGTTCACCTCTGAATATCTTTCTTATTTTTTATGTAAAAAGAGAGGAGTAAAATATATGTATATATACCTGAAAGGCTGTACCCCAGTGTTCACCTCTGAATATCTTTCTTATTTCTTTTTATGTAAAAAGAGAGGAATCAAAAAACATTTTATTAATTAAGAGGAAAAAATGCATAAAAAAAACTATTTTGCTCGATTACAAAACAGCTTTTATAAATAAGGTGCATAATACACCAGGATTGGATGTTCTCCACAATTCAAAGTGATTTTATTATTCCACAGAGCTCTGTGCAATAAGCGTAGTCTCGTTATTGCAATTTACTCCCTTCGAGATTACAGACCGATATATACTATCTTATAATGCCTATCTCAGGGGTTCTAACAATGTCTTCGTCATACTTCATGGAACCATGATAATTTTCGTCGTCTTTTTGCAGTCCCTTCTTTGTCTATATCTGTGACAGCTGATAAGACTCCTCTTCTCTGAATTGCACGGTGGAGATGATCCGTTTGCGAAGCGATCGACCTTGCCACACCAACGAATTCTAACAGAAGGTATAAAGAGGAATAGCACCCAATTCCCTTTAGTCTGGGTAATGAACATTAAACATAATTTGAATAACAACTTTCTCCTACAAGATCAAGTTGAACTTCGAATGCAGTTAATGTCTGATTGACTTGCAGGTAAGCCCAAAAAGCACTTGACAAGTTCCCTTTAGGCGGACACACAAGTGACCTTCAGCGGTCAACGCAAGCGGCGCGGCAGCTATATAAAAAGGGCGGCCCTTCCCAGTAAGTCACAACCTTCTCAACCTCAACATGATGCGAAAGGTAGTGACTGAGATGGTGCTTTCTGTTACATTTGAAATTTTAAGAACTGGGAAACATTTTGACTCTATTTACCAACGCTATTCTATCTTTACCAACAGGTAGGCTTGGTGCTGGTGGCAGGCGTGGTCGCCCTCGTTTCAGGCGATACCAGTCATCATGTTAAGAGTTCTCTGCACCACCCACTACATCGCCACGCGACTCCAAAACATCATGTAGCCCCTGTACACCATGCTGCCCCAGTGCACCATGCTGCCCCTGTACACCATGCTGCCCCTGTACATCATGCTCCTGTGCATCACGGAAAGGGATATGCTCCTGCTTACACTGATGTAAGTTTTCCACTTTCTCTATATTAGCATTTAGTAGTTTGGATCACGAGTGCATTGTACCTAGAGTATGATAAGAATGGTTTTGTATATAAAAAGAGTATTTAGGAATATATCCTGATAATGCTAAGGCGATCTCCCACTCTCTTTAGAAGCCTCCACACTACGCCTATGAGTACGCCGTCAACGACGACTACGCCGGCACCCACTTCGGCCACTCGGAGGCTCGCGACGGCTACAACACGGAGGGTAAGTACTTCGTGCACCTCCCCGACGGCCGCGTCCAGACCGTCACTTACTACGCCGACGAGACTGGCTACCATCCCACCGTCTCCTACGAGGGGACGGCCCACTACGACGCCCACGCAGCCGTCCCTCACCACGCCCCTGCCAAGGCTTACCACGCCCCTGAACCAGCATATCATGCCCCTGAACCAGCATATCACTCCCCTGAGCCAACATATCATGCCCCAGTTCTACCCACCTATCATGCCTAAGCTAAAGAAGTATTCTTTATGTACCAAAAGTTCAATGAACATTGTCAATATTTAAAAGACTTTTGTATAATAAAATGAAACTGTGAATCTGATTCTTTGAGTCAACCAACAACCTTTTATTATCTTGTAGACAAAAGAATTCCAGTTCCTATAATTCATAATATGACATTTCGCAATCGATCTTTCAAGAAATACAAGAGGTATACCATTTCCGGAAAATGCCATGAGGTGATGTATGCTTTTTTGGATATTCCGCACATATGGTTATCCGTTTATTTAAATTTTCTATTACTTTCAAAAGGTTCATTTACACATAGACGCACGCAGACACACACACATACACGCACATACACCACATGTATACATATATATGTATATGTATGTGTATGTAAAATTTTAATTAAATAGCAATTTTATATGCCTTAAAATAGGCCCAGGAAAATATCTAAACATTAATCTGGGTAAACTATTTATTTGAGAGGGTTTTCATTGAAAAATCAACCGGATATGTCTGGAGAGCTGCATTACAAATATCTGTATATATTATCTATACATAGATAAATACATACGTACATGTTTCTGTACATATATATCGATGTATATGTATCTGCAACACACACACTCATGCACACAAACATACACACATATGTATACATGCATGCAAACATAAAGATCTACTTATCTATGTATATCTATGTAAATTTTCTTGTTCATCTTTGTGTACACGTTACTGTGTTTGTGTCTGTGTTCTCTCTATATACATATGCATATATATACATATATATGAAATATGTGCTTATATATAAACATACATAATTATATATATATATATATATGTGTGTGTGTGTGTGTGTGTATAAACACGCATATACATATGCAGTCTTAAATAAGCTTTATGTTATTCTGTAATTATGTCTGGTTGTCTATCACAAATTTTATTTGAAATGATCACCGATCAATTTTCAAAAGGACCATCAGTCAGACATACCTGAAAGGCTGCACCCCTGTGTTCACCCCTGAATATCTTTCAAATTTCTTCTTATGTAAAAAGAGAGGAATCAACAAAACATTTTATTAATTAAAATGAAAAAAGAAAATGCATAAAAAACTTTTTTGCTCGATTAGAAAAGAGCTTTTGTAAATAAGGTGCATAATGCACCAGGACTGGAAGTTTTCCACAATTTAAAGTGATTTTATTATTCCACAGAGCACTGTGCAATAATCGTAGTCTCACTATTGTAATTTACTCCCTTCCAGATTACAGACCGACATAGACTATCAAGTAATGGATATCTCAGATGTTCTAACAATGTCTTCGTTGTACTTCATGGAAACATGATCCTTTTCGTCTTCTTTTTGCAGGTCTTTGTTTATCTCTGTGACAGCTGATAAGACTCCTCTTCTCTGAGTTGCACGGTGGAGATGATCATGGAGGAGAGCTGCGTTTTCGAGGCGATCGACCTTGCTACACCAAGGAATTCGGACAGAAGGTATCAAGTGGAATAGCATCCAATTCCCTGCTCTTTAGTCTGGGTTTCTTTCCAAACTGCATTTGATGAACATCAAACATAATTTGAATGTTAACTTTCTCCTACAAGATGAAGTTGAACTTCGAATGTAATTAATGTCTGATTGACTTGCAGGTAAGCCTAAAAAGCATTTTTTTAAGCGGACACACAAGTGACCTTCAGCGGTCAACGCAAGCGGCACGGTAGCTATATAAAAAGGGCGGCCCTTCCCAGTAAGTCACAACCTTCTCAAACTCAACATGATACAAAAGGTAGTGACTAAGATGGTGCTTTCTGTGACATTTGAGCACTTTAAGAAGTGGGAAACATGTTGAGTCCATTTACCAACGCTATTCTATCTTTACCAACAGGTAGGCCTGGTGCTGGTGGCAGGCGTGGTCGCCCTGGTTTCAGGCGATATCAGTCACCATGTTAAGAGTTCTCTGCACCACCCACTACATCACCATGCTGCTCCAAAACATCATGTAGCCCCTGTACACCATGCTGCCCCTGTACATCATGCTTCTCCTGTACATCATGCTGCCCCTGTACACCATGCTGCCCCTGTACACCATGCTGCTCCTGTGCATCACGGAAAGGGATATGCTCCTGCTTACCCTGATGTAAGTTTTCCACTTTCTATATATTAGAATTTAGCAGTTTGGATCACGAGTGCATTGTACCTAGATTATGATAAGAATGGTTTTATATATAAAAAGAATATATCTCGATAATTCTGAGGCGATCTCCCACTCTCCTTAGAAGCCTCCACACTACGCCTATGAGTACGCTGTCAACGACGACTACGCCGGCACCCACTTCGGCCACTCGGAGGCTCGCGACGGCTACAACACGGAGGGCAAGTACTTCGTGCACCTCCCCGACGGCCGCGTCCAGACCGTCACTTACTACACCGACGAGACTGGCTACCACCCCACCGTCTCCTACGAGGGAACGGCCCACTACGACGCCCACGCAGCTGTCCCTCACCACACCCCTGTCAAGGCTTACCACGCCCCCGAGCCAGCATATCACGCCCCTGAACCAGCATACCACGCCCCTGAACCAGCATATCACGCCCCTGAGCCAACATACCACGCCCCTGAACCAGCATATCACGCCCCTGAGCCAACATATCACGCACCTGAGCCAACATACCATGCCCCTGAACCAGCATATCATGCCCCAGTTCTACCCACCTATCATGCCTAAGCTAAAGAAGTATTCGTTGTGTGCGAAAAGTTCAATGAACATTGTCAATATTTAAAAGATTTTTATATAATAAAATGAAAATTTGAACCTGATGCTTTGACTCAAACAACCTTCTATTTAGTCAACAGTCTCTCATAGACAAGAGAATTTCAGTTCCTATTATACATACTATGACATTTCGTAATCGATCCTTCAAGGAAGATACAAGACATATACCATTTCCGGAAAATGCCAAGATTTGATGTTTGCCTTTGAGGTATTTCGCACATATGGTTATTCGTTTATTTTCAATTTTTGTTACTTAAAAAAAAATCAGTTACACACACATATATACATACAAACACATACACGCACACACATATATGTGCGTGTGTCCGTGTATGTAAATTTTTAATCAAATAGCAATTTCCATGCCTTAAAACAGGCCTGGAAAAATATCTAAGCATCTATCTGGGGGAACTTTGGATTTAACTCTGGATTTAAGAGGGTCTTCGTTGAGAAATCAACTGGATTTGTTTGGAGAGCTGATATTTTTTGCAAATGTCTGTATATATATTACCTATACATAGATAGTTACATACGTACATACTTATGTAAAGATCT